ATGGCAATGGATAAAAAGATATATGACTGCACATCCTCTGCTTTCTTGCAATGGACTCAGCTGTTCAAATTAGCCACGAAAAAAGTTATCTCAAATTACTTTCTCTGTTGTATGATCTTTCCCTGACATTCCAGCAAACATTTCATCTACAAGTTGGCAACCATAAATTAATTCTATAAGACGGAAAAGTATAAAAATAAATGTGATCAAAAGTTATAATTTTTATACATTTAGATTTAAAAAGTTGAACTTTATTCTGAAAGTATTTCAAAATGTTGGGTGGGCATAGAGAGGAAAAAGTAAACATGTATTAATCCTTAAAATATATCTGTGTTTTTGTATTTTGGGGGACTGTTTTTGAGAATTTTGAGGTTGGGAGATTTTTTTCTCTCTGTCAGTAAATAAATAAATACTGGTATAAGAGTTATACAAGCCACAGAAAACAGCACCGCCCAGTAATGATTGCACAGCCCATCTTTTTTCTCATTAGGGAATTTAAAATTTATGTCATACATCCTTTACAACCGCTTTGGGTGAAATTTTCCACATCAGGTTTCCGCCCGAGGATAAATGAGCAAATGAGTTAGGTTAGGGGGTTGGAGAGGGTGGGAGAGAATTTCAGCTAAAATAGTTGAGCCATTTCTGAGAATGAGATTAGGGAAAATATGATGTTTCCCCATGTTAAAAAATTCTTACAACAGTTTTGCTGAGAAGCAATATTGTCTCTGTGTGTACTGCCACAGAGGCAGAAGGAAGGATCTATAATCACTGGACCACACCCCCTTCCAGAACCTGGTGATGAACACTGTAGTCTTGAGTCTCTACAATCCTCCACCGTCAGCAAACAGGGAGGGTGGGTTAAAGCAATCGGCGGGCGGGAGGGAGGGCTGGGGGGGAAGGAACAGGAGCAGGGGAAGAAAGGGACACGAGTTGGATGGGTAGGAGAGGGGACAGGGGCAGGAGAAGGATGGTAGCAGGAGAGGGGAGAGGGGCAGGAACGGAGGAGAGGTTGCATGGGGCAGAAGGAGATAGGGAGAGGTTAGGGGCAGAGCAGAATGGTCTTTAATCACTCGAGCACACTCCCCTACAGAAACTGGAACTGAACCAATTACTCCTGAGTCTAAACATTCTTTTGCTGTCTTGTAAAGAGCAGTGAAACCCACTGGTTTTTGTGTCTCCACCCTGCTCTAGTTGCAGGTCCACATATAAGACACCAGACTTCTACTGCCACCAGTTACTATGTTGGCTCAAACAACAGAGGACTGTGCTGATCTAAAGATCCCAGCCCTATTGATGTGGGGTCAATATGATTCCAGATGATGGCATTTTTGTTTTGTCAATATTTAAGTTTTTAAAAACATAGGAAATTACATTAAAACCCCTACATGCAAAGAACATTATGAAGGTTGTAAAGTAAAGCAATCAAAAGCTAGGAAATACCAGAATGAAGACTTTCCAAGCAACCTTCATTCTGACACTTTGTGTGTATGCATTATGATTCAGTCTTTAATTACATGATCACAGTACCCTTCTGGCCATAAAAGTCATTAAGCAATTTCTGGATAAGCAGGCTCCTAGTTTACCTAGTGAGGTAGGAGGAAAAACAGTTTCTATGATGATATCTATACAGAATTTAGGACCAGATTTCCTCCCCCTGTTCTGGCTTCTTTGTGCTGCGTAAGCAAATGAGCCAAAATCTGGCTGCAGCTGCCCGCTGAGAATTGCGGCTCGACTGGTGTAAATCCGGTGGAGCTAGATCCCACATCCAAACATCTACCCTAGTGTAAAGTATATGTCAGTGGTCTGCAGGCCACAATTCTGCTCTGCCAAAATCGCAGTTTGAGTATGTTGCTCTGGAGACCATAGCCAGCTGGAGTAAGTTAGGGCCCAAGGTTGCTCTAACTTACAGCAGGGCTAGCAGTGGAGTAGCTGGAGCTTGACAAACAGGAACCTATAACTGGCTCCCTAATGGGATTCTTCCTAGTTCTCCTGTGCTCCGTGGATCTTGGTGCAGAAAAGAACTGGATCCTTACAGTTAATTTCTGTAGCCTATCTGAGCTTGGGTTGTATAAATTGGGGGGCTGAAGGCCTATTCTGGTTTGGCGACACCATTGGAGCGTCCAGACCTCATTGCTGGATATAGGTGGAGGGCATCCTGCAACCCTGCAGGCCTGATTTCACCCATGGGAACAGGGGCGGCTCTATGTATTTTGCCGCCCCAAGCACGGCAGTGAGGTAGCCTTCGGCGGCATGCCTGCGGGAGGTCCGCCAGTCCAGCGCCTTCGGCGTACCCGCTGCCGAATTGCCGCCGAAGCCTCACAGTGACCGGCAGGCCGCCCCCCGCGGCTTGCCGCCCCAGGCACGCACTTGGTGTGCTGGTGCCTGGAGCCGCCCCTGCATGGGAATGATTAGGATGAAGACCCTGGTCTGGGTAAAAGGTTCAAAATCTGTTATCAGTAAGGTTCGGAAATCTTTAACAGACCTTGAGTTGTTTGCTCACTGTGTTGTGGCATTGAATGAGTGGCACTTGGCATCCATTTATATACTGTGAATGCTCAGCTCCTTTGCACCCAATATCATTTTAATGGACATGAAAAAGATTTAGCAATATTTTGAGCATTCTATTTAATATGTATTCTCAGCATAAACCTTAACGACTCCTTTATGTGTACTATATGCTGTGAATGCATATTAATAGTCATATGTATTTGCATATTATGGATCCATTGTATAATAAAAATCTTACTGAAAAGTACTTATAGCCTTGGTGTAGAACTGCTCCATAAAATTCAGAAGAAAAAAAGTTTTAGTTTATGTATAAAGGACCTATTCAACCATATGGTCTAGAGATCTGAAAATAATGTCAATGAATAGAATTTTTTTTTAAATTACAGACACGCCAAAACAGTATTGGATCACAGCATACTACTTCATTTATTTTATACTCTTGTAACTTAACTGAACAGATAGTTCTGAAAATTTTTAGCCAAGTTTCAGTTGGAGCAAGTTTTTACAGCTGAGCTGTAAATCCCTGAAAGTAGAGATTTATAATGGAAGACACTGACAGACCCTTAACTATAGCAGCGTTAGCAGGTGCCACTGTAATCATATTAGATTATATTATAGATGGCAAAAAAGGCTTTGTGAGTCTGGCCATTGTGACTGCCTAATTTATAGTGTTCCTGTCAAGAAGAAATCAAATTTCATAGTTATGACATTTCTTTCTGGAGCACTAAATGTTAACTTTGCTGATCATGCATATTTTGGTAGGACAGCTTATTTCTAAATGGCAGATATGATATAAAAAGCATGATGACTTCATTCAAATCCCTTTTAAAGCAGCCCATTCACAAACTAATAGGAAATGGGCTAAATGGTATTTTAGATGTCTAATTATGGAATTAGGTAAACAGTATCTTCAATTCAGTTTTACATTTTAAGTAGCCATATCATGTCATAATTATGATATATTTAAAAATATGGTCAGTTTTATGTACTCGTATTACATGGATTTAAAGAGTATCAAGCCGGTGTGATATAACAACAGAATAATGAATAATGACAAAAACAATACTTTGCTTGTATATAGTTAATTTAATCTGAGAATCCCATTGTACTTTACAGTCATTCAGGACCAGACTGTGGTGCACGAAGCAAGGACAGAACACAGGGAGTCTTTCATCTTCCCTTGAACACTTACACAAGGGGCAGCCACAGTCTTAGTGTGCAGTCAGAACACAAAGGGGAGGAAGGCATTACTAATCACCCCCAAACAGACCGACATAGCAAAGGATGCATGCTGTATCCTGTGAAAGGCTGCGGCAGTGGCCACTCATTGCATATTTCCCTACGTCAGACAGGAGTAATTCTGGCTAGAATGCCTCCAGGACCTACTGCTGCTGCAGAGGTATTACCACCAGTGCGGTGGGGGGAGTAAGGGAAGCTGTCTGCCAACTTCCCCTTCTATAAAATGGGGATAATATTGAGAGATTCCATTCAGGAAGTCAGTAGAAGAGCCTGGAATAAAAATCAGAACCCCCGATTGCCAAAATGGAAGCATTTAACACCTACTTTGTGCAAGTGAAAATGATTATACAAGAGGCAAAGCAACAGAGAATTAGGACCTAATAATCCTAACATTTAAAATAATATTTTAACACACACACACACACACACACACACACACACAAACAAACCCAGAGACAAACCCAGAGACAAAAAATGGGAATATAATTACCCCATCCTACAATTTCTAAACTTTTTTTAAATTTTTCAAAATTGCTAGAGAAACACACATGCTCAAATATTAAAACTGACAAAAAGCCCTTTTTATTTTTTGTGCAAATAAAAAGGTGATAGAAGCCATTTTTCTGAAATTTTACAAAAAATGTCCACATTGTAGCTACCTGCTCTTCAATATAATCCATCAGTCTTGATCCTTCACACTCCCATTTCTAATCTCTTTCCTCTGAGAATTTAATCCATGACTGGACTTGCTCTTTCAAGGTGGTTACCAAATTTTCCTAATAGCCTACTTGCAAGAGTCTTTATCAAAAGTCTTTTGAACGTCTAAGTACATTTTATCCATCATTTAAAGAAGCAGGAGTCCTATCTCGTATTATAGTAATTAAAGTCCTTTTAATGATTTTCTAAACTTTTTCTCAGATACTGAAGTAAGGCTCGCTGCACTAGAATTCCTGGGATCACCTGTAGCACTTTCCTTTAAAATCCATGTTAGTATCTGTTTTTAATAATATTACATACCTGCATCAGTAGCAGAGCTGCTTTTTCTTTATTTGCTTAGTGATTGTTGTTATCAATATTTATTGATACTGCAATAGCACCTAGAAACTCCCGCCAGGAACCTGGACCCAGTGTGCTAGCTGCTGTACAAACACATAGCTGTCCACTTATGTTCCCAAGGAATCAGTATAATGCCACTGGGAGTGTGTTTTTTATCCATAAATCATTGTTTTCTAAATCAAATATTGCACTCTTACCTTAATAACAGAGGCCCCTGCTCTGGAAAGAGGACTATGCATCTGGGCTGCAGCAGCCATGTTAGCAATAGTATTGAGGTGGTTCATCTGATTCATTGCCATTGCAACTGAAGCAGGAGGTAGGCTGACTGGGAGGAGAGGATGGGGCATCATCATAAATGGCAGATCTATCCCTAAAAGAGATGGTGGGCATGATGGTTTGTTAGTCTCTCATTTCATAATCCAACACTTTAGTTCAAGAGCGTAGCTATCATACTACAGAAAGAGTAATTAGTCTAGGTTGTCATTATTATGAGTTTGAAATTTATATAACTAATACGACATTGCCATTTAAAATAATTAAGAAGTCAGAGAGAATGCCTCATGCTAACGGTATTTGCATTCCATAAGAGGACTATATGTACTGCATTAATGAAAGACAAATCTAGCTGTAAACAAACAGGCAATACTAACAAAACAGGTATGCCACAATCTGCAAGCTCAATGACCCCTTTAATCAGCAATGTAAAAATCCATGGGACATGCAAAAATTCTTACAATTATATTAAAACAGATCAAGGGGTAAGTTAATTATACGTATATACTCGTTCATTAGCCCATTCGTTTATAAGCCAACCCCCCAAGATGGTTAGGTAAAAATAGCAAAAAATGTATGATCCTTTCATAAGCCGACCCTATATTTCAGGGGTTGGCAAACTTTGGCTCCTGGCCCATTAGGGTAAGCTGCTAGCGGGCCTGCACGTTTTGTTTACCTGGAGCGTTCACAGGCACGGAGCCCCTCAGCTCCCAGTGTCCACGGTTTGCCGTTCCCAGCCAATGAGAGCGGCGAACCACAGCCACAGGGAGCTGAGGGGCTCCATGCCTGCAGACGCTCTGGGTAAACAAAATGACAATGTATTAGATATTCAATCCAATGATTTCATAGAGTTTAAAATCATCACATTTTGGTGTAGACCCGTTTATAAGCTGACCCCTGCTCTTTGATGCGTCACTTTTTTACCAAAAATATTCGGCTTATGAACGAATATATACAGTAGTCTATTCTGTCATCAGTGTATACACTTAACTCCCGTTAACATTATTGAGTATTGCTCATATGCAGCAATTTGAGACCAGATTTTGATGTGTTACTGAATACGATTAGACCAGTAAGGACTGAATACAAGATGGTAGCTAAGTCTGTGAATTGAGATGTGCAGTGTTCCAGTTTAAGACAAAAAATATTTCCACATAAGGCTAGGGACCTAATTCTCATTTACACTGAAGCCATTTCACACTGCTATGGCAGTATAAAGGGGCCTGGAAAAGGAGTGAATTACATGTACATCCACATTAAAGCTCTTTGGGTATGTCTACACCCAGCTGCTAGTTCGGCGGCTGGCAATCGAAGTTCTGGGTTCGACTTATCGCGTCTTGTCTGGACGCGATAAGTCGAACCAGGAAGTGCTCGCCGTCGACTGTGGTACTCCAGCTAGACGAGAGGAGTACTGCGGAGTCGACGGGGGAGCCCGCCTGCCGCGTGTGGACCGAGGTAAGATCGAACTAAGGTACTTCGAACTTCAGCTACGTTATTCACGTAGCTGAAGTTGCGTACCTTAGTTCGATTTGGGGGGTGAGTGTAGACCAAGCCTTTGACACTGCCAGAGTGGTGTAAAGTAGTCCTGGTGTAAATGAGAATCAGATTCCAATACCATATGTTCCCTTAACACACTGGTTCTCAAACTATTGTACTGGTGACCCCTGTCACATAGCAAGCCTGTGAGTGTGAGCCCCCCCCCTTATAAATTAAAAACACTTGTTTATATATTTAACAGCATTATAAATGCTGGAGGCAAAACGGGGTTTGGGGTGGAGGCTGACAGCTCGCAACCCCCCATGTAAAACCTCGCGACCCCTGGAGGAGTCCCGAACCCCAGTTTGAGAACCCCTGCCTTAACATGTATATATACTGCATCACTTGTCTTACAATAGATCATATAGTTTTCAATGATGATCACAACACTTAGGTGGCACAAACAGACTAAACTACTGAGAAACCTTTTTAACTGCTCTGACTTTGAGTAACACCTAATTCTTAAGACTTCTCAGGAGAGACTTCCTGATCCCATTTACCTATGAGTATTACCTGATTTTCTCAACACAAACAGGACCAAATTCTGCCACTATACAGAGTCAAAATGGCTCAATAATTTCTGCAAAGGGAATTTAGGCAGATTAGAAATGATCATCACTAACCTCTGGCAAAATATGAAAATAACATAATTGTATAGCCTGTCATAATTGTAAACTACGTGCCTATTTATTGTAGATATTTCTCTGAGTTTATTACCATGGTTCTACCTTAATCATTATCATATTACAAGGTAAATCATTGTTTTCCTATCTTATATTCCTACAGTAAGAGTACCATGAGCTGATCTTGCTTACATAATTTCTTTCATTCAAAACACAATTTTTTGGTCCACCAGACACCAGAAACACCCACATAAACCACCATCTGCCCACAAAAGGCAGAATCATCTGAAAACTGAACACCCTTACTACCCCTGGTCAGCCATCAGCCAAACACTATTATATCCATTCACTGTGGTGTGTTATGCTTCACATTACTTTGTTTATGAGATGGTCCATGTCATTGTTAATCAAGATAGTAACAAGACAAAGTCCATGGACATCTCCATTTACTTCAAACCATACTGACAGTCCCTTCAGTGCTTATATACATAAGCTTTTGTTCCCTTGTATATCTCCCGTAGCAGCCTAACAATCTTCCCTCATACTCCATAGAGTTCCAAAACTCCCAGACACCATCTGTCCACTTTGAGTTGTATGTCTACTTAAAGTCCAATTGACATGCAAACTACAAACAGAATATAACAGCACATCACCAGTTTTAAGACACAATCCGTCAAGCATTTCTGAGGACTATAAAGGAAATACATCTTACACTTGCAAATCATCAGACATAATGTCTGATATTCAATAAACCTCTTAATAGCCTTTAGACAACTACTTAGAATGAAAAATACTGAATAATATCTGGAAAGATTACCAAAATAGGGAAGACCACAGTTGCCTCATATATAAAACATGTGCAGATACTGAATTATGTAAGTGCATATTCCACAGATAAGGAACATAAAATTAAAGAATCATCTATAGTACGTAAGAGTCCTGCAGTCTGCTCCATTTAATCAGATGACAGGCCCTAACTGTGCATGAAAGGGGACAAGCACCTACAATAAGAAACATTTAAATGGTCTCGGCTTCTCCACCAAATTCAGTGACACTACATAGATAGTGATCAAGGTATCTGGTCCTAAAAATAAGGTATTTCTGATGAATAAGACATTTAATACACTTGTGAAAAGTAAGTCTTTGAAAACAATTTGTAAAACTCTCAGAACAAAGATACATACATGAACAATGAGGATTTTTAAAACTTTAGCAGTGTTTCCATTCCTTCATCCCACTGTAATCTTTTATCCAATTATCATGTCCCACCTCTTCCTTTAACACTGATTCTATTTTCATTTTGGCCTGAACAATAAATTCTTTATTTACAAAAGACTACAAAAACTTTGGGGCCAAATTTTTTGCTGGAGTAACTCCATCGACCTCAGTAAAGTTATAGAAGTAGAGAACTTGACTTTTTTAGACTCCAAGATTTGGAGAGGATTTTTACAGTACCTAATCCAGGAAACAGGAGAGATCTTAGAAAAAGAGCAAAATTCACCACCACCATTTGGGTACACATTTACCAAAATGAATGCTAGTTACCTTTATACAAATGCCTTCATATAGAAAACTTGCTACTGTTTGTGATGCAGAACTCATTAAGTTTCAGGAAAACTTTTATTGATTTGAAAACAATGAAACTAGGATATATAAAAAAGTATATTGATTGTATGAAATAACACAAGCTTTGTTTTTTTAAGGAGTTAGAGTTAGCAATAAAAGAAAGCCATTCAATTCATTAGTAAAACTATTATGATAGTGTGTCTAAAAAGTGAATTAATCTTGAAGCGATATTTATAGCTTGGTCGTTTATTTCACAGTCCGATATACCTACATTAATGTTAAATCAAATCATTAGCTGCACTGTGACATAGTATAAATGCAAAAGACTTAGTTAGGCAGGCCTAGGGTGTGTAAATGGTAAGTATGGGAGTAGTGCAGGGAGAAGGAACTCAGGCACCTGCTGATTACTCCTCCCGCTCTGAGGGATAGCATGTGATGGGTCTAACAGTGTGTGCTCTGACCTGTCCCAGCCATTCCTGCTATCACTGGATGACTGGGGTTATGTCAGACTGACTGACTGGCACCCTCCTTGAAGAGGAAGGAGTTGTTTCTACCCACTGCTGGCTCGCTGCTGTTTTGGCTTTGTTCTAGTCCCACTCATTCCCACCTTTATATGATATGCTGGATCTTGTAGGATGCTGTGGACTATGTTTATTGCCAAATTATATTTGGTGTCTGGAAGAGATTTTTCCCCTTTGGCAAAACTGGCAAATTACTGTGTGGGTTTTTTCACCTTCCAACCAGCATCCTGGAGCTCTGTTTTAGGGATTTACATTACATGTGTCCCATTGGCTGGGCAATATCCATCATCCTCAGGTTTGTAAAAACCAGGGCTATTCTGCAATGGAATGGCTCTGCCAGTTAGTTTGGGGAGTAGTTCCTCATTGGTTAATAGTTTAATCAAGTTACAGCCTCTGCATTTACCGACACGTGTGTGTGTGTGTGTGTGTGCGCGCGCACTAAATTCTTCCAGCACATTATGTTATCACATGCTATTTATTAGTTACCAACTTCTTGTATATCTTTCCTTCTTTACAGACAAACAGTATAAGACTGAAGGTGTCTGTATCTTAGAATGTCTTCTTACTATTTATAAGGACAGTAAACGTACTGTTGGTGAGCAGGTGATTTTGCTGGAGAGGACTGAGGGGATGTGCACTCCCAAGGCTGGATTGCCCTGATAGCGTGGCGTGACCAACACCATGCTGTGATCCTGTTGTAATAGGAGACTGAAGTTTCTCTTTATCCCAGGAAGATTCACTCCCACCTGCAAAACAGTGTACAAAGATATTGTAAATACCATATTCTTCCCTTGAAGAGATTTTGCTAGCTTTACTGCACACTTTTTATTATCCTAAATTACTCAATTTTTGTTTTGGAATACGTCATAGTTTATTGATTATTCAGCACCAAAAGACATGTAGGTGCTGCACCTGAAATAAATGAATAATTTAATAATCATAAACCAGGCCAAATAACCTAACTAGAACATCGTGTACCCCTTCTGTAAACAGAGAAAGCTAGATGTTTAAGGAGAAAATGACCCAAACAGGAAGGACTCACAATTAGTTGTGATAACAACTAAACAGGGACTCTTCTTTTGTAATCGACACACAGGACCTCACCATTGACAATACCCAGTGGGAATTTTTTTCAAGGAGTTGCTAAATAATAAAATAATAAAAATTAATAATACCAGCTAGCACTAATATAGCAATAGATGGGGAAACATGTGCAGAGAATTTAAATGATTTGCCTAGGGCCACCGAACGGGTCAATTTTAGCATCAGGATTAGAATTTAGTAGCTCCTGGATTCCAGTCCTGTGCTCAGAGCACCAGACCAGGCTCCTCTTAAATGCTAAATTCTGAATATAATTGAGAGATTCAAAGACTGAGCTTGTAGATAGTCAGCTTTGAGGCATTCATATGTATCATTCGGATGTAATTTTTGTTCACCGCAATTGATGTCTAAGAGAGAAAGCAAAGTATGTCATATTAAACAGTGTAATACTAATCTGTTTGTTTTTCCGGAGAGATCTTATTTTGTATTGGTTTCATGGCAATCCCTATGTCAGACAGTTATGCACGTGAATAATCACGTGCTCCTCTTATTAAATCACAGTAAGATAGATTGTGGTAAGAATTTTGCAATGAGTCTGGTCCACAAAATAAAGCCTTTAAACAACTATTTGTAAAAGTTGAACATTTCAGGAACACAAAAAGGCCATAATGTTAACATAGGTACATTCCTTTTCCTTCCATCATGGATATTTTAGATTAGATTAAAGAATAATAAGAAACTGTGTATCTGCAGTATTGATATTATCTAGAATTTATTAACTTGAATTGCAATTAGAATCAGTAACACACTGTTGTGATGCAATGGATAGAGACAGCAGGCAAAAAAAAATGTATTTTAATTGAAGATGAAAGTAACCACATAGAAACATTCAACATTCTTTATGGTAACACTCAGCTAATAAACATGATTAATACTACCAAATGTAAAAGACTGAAAGATCAATGATTGTGCAAAATGGGAATCACTCCATCATTTTAATACCATGTCCAAGCCATGAATTACCTTACCATTACAGATTTGTAATTTGTAAAATGATGAGCAACACATTGACAAAGAAAGATACATTTATACAGCACTAAATTATACCATATGATGTAATATAATATGGCATAATTACAGCAGTGCTCAGTAGCCCTGCCACTGTTAAGGTGGCTGTTTCAAATCATGTTCGACTGAAACTTCAGTTATTCACAGCATTAACATTTGATAAAATATTCCTTGAGTTAAACAAGTGAGGAAAAATGATTTTCTAAGAACACTTTTTAAGAACTGATTTGCTAAATGATTTCTACCATTTTCCAGATGTTTTTTCAATATTTTAGTCTAATGTTTAATATTTTTTTTAAAAAAGCATTATTGTTCAAAGTACAGCTTGTATGTACTTAAGTGACCTAAACTTTCACTGGCACTTAAATATTTAAAAGTAGAGTTTCAAAATTATGTAAAGAATGTATACACATACATGTTTGTGAGGTATTAATTTATCAAGTAGAAATATCTCAACAGTCCTTGGACCATAAACTTTTATTTTACAAAGCAGAAGGTCCAATCCTGCAAATGTTTACAAACAAGCTTGACGTTACACATGATTAACCCCACTGTAACTCTCTATGTACATTAAGTGTTTGTTGTTCAGGACCCCAGACATTTTCATGTCTTTTTCCTTGTGAAGTCAGAGTCATGAACTTCAATGGAGCTCTGCCCATTTTAACTGACTGAGGATCTGGCCCACTACCTTCAAAATGTAAACTGATTGCTAAGGAAGTTTGTCATAGTGATTTTTCAAAAATGAGGGGGAAAAAATCACAGTCCTTGCCTGAAATTACACCCTTACCAGCTGTGCTCTCTTCCCTAGTGGCCTACCAGTGGCCAGAGCTCCAAACTCAATTACCTACTCCTAACAGTTTATCTTTCCTTCAATACCTCACCATGGGCCCAAGTTCTAATACAATATCCCCTTTCTCTCCCTCCCCACCCCGACACATTCTACTCAGGTATCTGCTCTTGTATTCAGTAGCAGTACCACTGCAAGTCTCCTCCACCCACACCCACTCTCCCTTGAGAAAAAAAGTCCGGCTCACAGGGAAGTCTAATGAAACAATCAAAGTTGAATGCTAAGTGAAATTTAATTATAGGGTCTGAAATTTACATAGATATCACCACACCCTGCTGTGGTAAAGACTGACAGACACAGTTTCCATAATTAAGTTACATGGTGAGTAATTCATTGAAAGAGAAATCTATTATGAATAATAACACCTAGCTCTTACATAGCATTTTTCATCAGAAACTCGCAAAGCACTTTGCAAACGAGGTGAGTATCATTATCCCCATTTTACAGATGGTGATACTGAGGCACTGAGCACTGAAATGACTTGCCAAGGTTATCTGCAGGCCAGTGGCATAGCTGGAACTAGAACTCAGGTCTCCTGAGCTTTAGGTAGTGCTCTGTTGTCCAGAAAACCTTTTCCCTGACACTACACGCACTATGTTGCAGAACTTGTTAATGGAATTGTCACTGAGCAGTTAAGGACACGAACCTTAAAAGATGGCTTTTATCCTTGTCTGAAAATAATTCTCTCTTTCTTCATGTGCTTGATACAATATGAAAAATTTAAGTGTAAATTTAATAATAGGCAAAAGCCTCAAGACCCAGTATAAATCCATTCCAATCTCTACTTTCTATATCGTTCTTAGGAGCTAATTGTATGAAGACAGCAATGAAGTAATTTTGACTTCACTAACAAAGCAAATAGCTCATTTTATAAGTTAAATATGCATAGTGCAAAGGATCCAAATCTCATACTCTTCTAATTTCAGACACTTCTTCAAAATTCCAGAGAAATATTTGTACATACACACACACACACACTTTCACACCAAATGCTAAAAGCATAATGTAATGTACAATTATTGTCTGTATAAGAATAGAATTGTGAGCCCATCACATCAACAGTATACATATTCTCAAATTGTTGATTAATATCATAATTAGAGGTCAGTACCTACAGCAACTAAATCAGTTGTAAAATTTGAAAATCAGATCCAGATACAATTTTTCATTAGATTTTTGTTAACTGTTCCCATATTTTGTGCAGAGAGAATATGCAGCATCAATACGGCAAATGTAATTGTCCCTTATAACATAAAACAAACACATGATATTAAATCCTGCATTGGGATTCAATAGTTTATAGGGCCATAACTTAAAGCAAAATTAGGCCTGTGGTCTTCATCATGTGCAAGATGCACCATATGGTAAAAGGCAAATCGGTCCCTCCCATACATGGTGGAGTAGGTATATTTAAACAGGCTAGATAAATCTGTCTTTTGCTCAATCCAAAAAGTGTAGCCTTTGGAAAAACACAACATATTTTCTGTCATAATTAAGCTGTCGAAGACCCACATTCTTTACTAAATAGCGGTTGTGGAGTGTAAATTAAGACAATGATCCATGCCTGGATGCATGCCAAATAACGTCTCCACGATAGATGCTGAACAGGAGAGAAGGGGAAAAAAAGAATGAGAGACAAGAAAACCAACAGGCAGTATCATTTAGGGAAATGAGGCAAAAGTCTCTTACAATAAAACAGTGATGTGAGCTGTCTTACGAGTTATATACAAAGGAATGTAATTTATTATTCATTTTTAGGAAGAAAAGATTTCATATTTCCGTATAAAAGTTACGAAAAATTAAGCAGATTCTTAAGTGTCATAAAATTATTATTAGGTCCTTTTTAAGTACACCTCTACCCCAATATAACACTGTCCTCGGGAGCCAAAAAATCTTACTGCGTTATAGATGAAACCGCGTTATATCGAACTTGCTTTGATCTGCTGGAGTGCGCAGCCCCCCCCCCCCCCCCCCCCCCCCGGGAGCACTGCTTTATCGCGTTATATCCAAATTCATGTTATATTGGGTTGCGTTATATCGGGGTAGAGGTGTATAGTTATTTGTCAAAATGCATTTCTGAACATTACGAATAAGTAAAGCGCTTCACATTTAAAATTGTCACCCCTGCACATACAACCTCCCTCCCCGCCCCAAACAAAAGAAAACTCATGAAGGTAACTTTTTCCTATCTTGCTTCCATTCTTGTTGGTCTTGACTAGGACCAGACTCTCTCAGTCCCTAACTCAGGTGCTCAAAAGGGGAGGAAAGACCCCATCTTGCACAGTCTATGATGCCAAGGGCCTATTACAGATGCAGTCCTCCGTTCAGGTGGGACCACAGGGACTGCTCCCTCAATACACATGGTGACCACAAAGGGGACAGAGAGACTGTAGGGTCAGGTCCTGTCTACCTGCCTTCACATCAGCCTGCAGTGCAGAGTGTGTTGGTTGCAGTGGAGGAGGGTAAAACAGGGTATAGCCTACACACTGCCCCTGTGCCCCAGGTCACTCGTGGGGGGGGGGGGGGGGGGGGGAGAGAGAAGAGGTCACAATCCTGTCCTGGCCTCCCCCTGGAGTGGTGTTGTTGCACATTACCCCTATCATTAATGCTATGTTTCAGCATACACACAGAAAAATTAGATAAAAATCTAAGTACTCCTGCTGGAAGATTGCAACGTGATACTACTTTATTTCTGAGAATTCAGAACAATAACACACAAAAACCAAAACCGGAGAGAGAGAAAGCAAGCAGGCAGGCAGACAGCTCCCTAAAACTGAGAGGCACAACTCA